AGCGTTTGCCTGAAAACGTACAAGCTATGCTATCGCTTGCTAAATCCCAGCCTTTGTCAGAAGTTGCAGATATTGCTGATGATATGATGGATCGCTTCACCGGACCACCGTGTCCGTCGTCTAGTTCTCTTCGCTCACCTGACGTAGATTTCACTGTTGACCCTTCGGTCCAGACCATCGACACCACTACTCCACCTTCCACTGGTGAGCTCTTAACAGAGATAGCCGCGCTACGGCAAGAAGTTCAAAGCTTAAAGTTACATCGGCACCCACGGGATTCTCCATCCCGTTCTCCTAGCCCATCTCGAAGCCGAACACGACTCCCAATTTGCCGTTATCACGCACGTTTTGGAAGTTCCGCTAGAAATTGTATAAAACCATGCTCATTTCCCGTAAGGAGAAAAAGGACAGGCCGACACGTATTGGCGACGAACGCCGTCGGCCGAAGTCGTCCAAGTCGCCTCTTCAATATCGTTGATAGGAACACCGGGATCATGTTCCTGGTTGATACCGGGGCGGAAGTTAGCGTGATCCCACCGGTTCCAGGCGACGCGACTAAGCCACAGACAACTAACTTGAGTGCCGCTAACGGCACTGCTATTCGAGTCTTCGGTCAACGCTCTCTTACCATTGACCTCGGACTACGACGTCCCTTTCGATGGATTTTCACCATCGCTGCCGTTCCATTTGCTATATTGGGTATTGACTTCCTCCAACACTTCGATCTTCTCGTCGATGCGCGTCATCGCAAACTCGTTGACCAAAAGACCCAGCTTTTCACATGTGGAGTTCGCACACTTTGTGTTTCTGTCACTCCCATTTACATCCAGCCTGAAGCTGATAAGGAATTTTTAGATCTGTTCAGACAGTTTCCGCAGCTCGTCCGCTCAGCTGACGCTACTCTTCCGGTCGCATCTAGCGTTACGCACCATATACGAACCCGTGGCCCACCGGTTTCTGCACGGCCACGACGTCTCGCCCCTGATAAGCTAAAAGCCGCTAAGGCGGAATTCGAGCACATGCTCGAACTTGGTATCATCCGTCCTTCCGAAAGTCAGTGGGCCTCACCTCTCCACATGGTGCCCAAGAAAGGCGGCGACTGGCGGCCCTGCGGAGACTACCGGGCGCTGAACAAGTGCACAGTTGCAGATAGGTACCCTATACCGCACATCCAGGACCTTACAAGTAGTCTCGGTGGTAAGTCAGTGTTTAGTAAGATAGACCTGACGCGAGCATATCACCAGATTCCTGTAGAGGACTGCGATATCCCCAAAACTGCAGTTATAACACCCTTTGGTTTATTCGAGTTCCTTCGAATGCCTTTCGGGTTAAGGAACGCTGCTCAAACATTCCAGCGGTTCATCCATGACGTTACTCGTGGTCTGGACTTCGCATATCCTTACGTGGATGACATCCTAGTAGCTAGCGCCTCTAAGTCGCAACACTTAGAGCATCTGCGTACTCTATTCCAACGCCTATCTGATCGAGGCGTTACCTTGAACCCTAGCAAGTGCGAACTAGGAAAATCGTCGATCGAGTTCCTAGGTCACCGCATCTCAGCTACAGGTATTGAACCACTGTCTCAAAAGGTAACCGCCATCAAAGATTTCCCTGAACCTACATCGTTTAAACAGCTTAAACGTTTCCTTGGGATAGTTAACTACTATAGACGCTTTATTCCGTGTTGTGCTAGGATAATGCAGCCCTTGACTGACTTGCTTCGGGGCAATCAACGTTCGTTTGTTTTTACCAAGTCCGCGCGATTAGCCTTCTCAAACCTTAAAGACGCAATCGCTAATGCTGCTCTCTTAGCACATCCCGTACCATCTGCTCCAATTTCTCTCGTCACTGATGCCTCAGACGAGGCCGTTGGTGCTGTTCTTCAGCAGGCTGTCGACAATACCTGGCAACCTTTGGGTTTCTTTTCGAAACGGTTGCAGCCAGCGGAGACACGTTACAGCACCTTCGGGAAAGAACTTCTGGCAGTTTACCTCGCCATCCGTCATTTTCGTCCTTTTCTAGAGGGCAGAAGCTTTACCGTCTTTACTGACCACAAACCTTTAGTTTACGCCCTCGACTCGTCATCCGACCGATACTCTCCGAGAGAGATACGCCACCTGGACTATGTCTCACAGTTTACGTCAGACATACGGCACGTCTCGGGTGTGCAGAACTCCGTCGCTGATGCTCTTTCTCGCGTCAGCTCCATCACGTCCGCTGAAGGTATCGATCTAACGGCAATGGCTGCTGCTCAACAGACCGACCCAGAGCTAGATCAGCTTCGTAATTCTAGCTCCTTGCGCATACGACCAGTTCCACTGCCTACTTCGGATGGAACCATACTTTGCGACGTTTCGCAAAATTCACCACGACCAGTGGTTCCCCAAGCTTTCCGACGCACTGTGTTTGACATTCTTCACAGTTTATCGCATCCAGGCATTCGTGCCACAGTTAAGCTCGTCACACAACGCTTCGTGTGGCGCAACGTCAACCGAGACGTTAGACAGTGGGCTCGTACGTGCCTTAGTTGTCAACAGTCTAAGGTTCATCGACACACGAAAAGTCCGCTTGGGTCATTTCCACTTCCTGATGCCCGTTTCCACCATATCCATGTTGACCTTGTTGGGCCACTGCCCCCATCTAATGGATGCGCTTACTTGCTGACTTGTATAGACCGCTTTACAAGATGGCCTGATGCCATCCCAATGCCAGATTGCTCATCAGACACTGTCGCTCGCGCTTTTCTAGAGCGCTGGGTCTCACACTTTGGTTGTCCTGCCATTGTGACAACTGATCGAGGTTCGCACTTCGCAGGCACATTTGCTCACCTTCTTCAGACCCTCGGCTGCCGTCACGTTCAAACGACTGCATTCCACCCTGCCGCCAACGGCATGGTTGAGCGTTTTCACCGCCAGCTGAAAGCTGCACTATGTGCACATGATAACGCAGACTGGTACGAAGCGCTTCCCACCGTCTTACTTGGCTTACGAAATACTGTCAAAGCCGACATTAACGCTGCTCCGGCCGAACTCGTTTATGGCTGCTCATTGCGTCTTCCCGGACAATTAGTCGCCCCAACCCCGGAGAGGGCATGGAACTATAGGAGCTACATAGCTCGTCTGATGCACCACATGCGTCAGCTGCACCCCGCGAGACCCAGGGAACAACGCACTCCAGTGCACGTTCCGAAAGACCTTTCTACATGTTCTCACGTATTCTTACGTGTCGACCAAGTGAGACAGCCTCTCTCCGCACCTTACACAGGTCCATACCGTGTTATTAAACGGTCTTCAAAAACTTTGATGATTGACCGTGGAGGTAAAAGAGATACCGTCTCGATAGATCGCGTCAAGCCTGCGTTCATCGATGAACAACAGCTTGTTCCATCATCGACCTTAACGCAATCTACAGAGCCACCTGTAACGACGCCCAGCTTTTCAGCTCCACCACAATCCCAGTCACCAGATTCGCCTCAAACTAATACCAGTCACGGTAGAAGAGTTCGTAAACCTGTTCGTTTCTCCGATTTTGTCGAACTCATCCATACCTCATGAATCTTTTTCATTTTCTCTCGTTTGTATTATGCTTTTCCGTAAATATCTGAATCTGTCTCCCCGAGTTTTTTCCCCCATCTATCAGGTAAAGTCATGAGGCTGGCACGTTTGGGTCCGTCCGTTCAATGGTTGGCTGTTTCTCAATTGTTTGGTCGTTTGGATGCTTTGTCTACCCCCAACGCTTTGTCGTCTCGCCCGCCCACGTTGGCCTTTGGATCGTGGTCTGCTTGGCTCAATTTGGCTCGCCTTGGTCGTTTGTCTGGCTCGCCTTCCTGGCTTTGGCTGCTCGTGTGCCTGGCTCGTTGTTTTTGGTCCCCCCACGGCTCGCCAGTACGAACAGGATTTCAGCTTCGTTGTGGCAGTGGATTGGAATGCGGTGGGGGGAGTGACCTCTCCCAAGCGCACCGTCTTTCAGCAGCGGTGAAAGGTCCTACCGGCCCTTTTTCTGGATTATCCAGTTTTTTTGTAGTCCGGTGTGCCCGCTGGGACGGCCCACCGATGATGCATTCCAATCCACAAGAAGATTAAATAATCCAAATACAACCGAACTCCTGTGATTCTGCCTTTATACATTTGCAAGCCAACAGCGATCGAAGTCCTCGTCCCTCGGCCTTCTAGGGGGAGGCCTGTGTAGTGACCATGACATTTTACCCCATCAAACATCACACTCAGACTTGTGCACATTTTGTTTTACTTTGCACCCATCCCAAGCCTATATATACTGGACTGCAATTTTGAACCGGGTTCGCCATCTTGCCCGCGCGCTGCCGGCTGTTGCGCTCCTACGTGGTGTTACTCATTGCTTCACCACTCTCTCCCATTTTCCTCAAGCTATATTCACATAGCTATTGTACATAGCTATTTTCTCAAGACAATCTTTATATCCCACCGTCTTCTGTCTCACCGGGCTACGGTTTTCTTGTGTAGCATTCGTCAAGCCGCTACAAGTTATGAGGTCTTTGATAGCCTCCTTTAACTTCAGACTATCTGCCAGTGGTAGGTCCGGCTGAACGCTGACACCACTACCCTTAAGTTTGAACGCAAACCGCAGTAACGATTTGCGTTCCTCCGGGGTAGAAAGGACTACGCGAAGTAGTCGGGGTCGTGGATTTGGCGTAGCGATAGGGACGTTCCCAATCCATTGAGAACATGTCCAGCTCTCTGAATCGATTAGATTTGAGGTCAAGCGAAAGTACCATTCACAGACCACGCTCCTAAGTGGCGTTTGTGAGCAAAGAACCTCCAATATGGTAGCTTCCAAATGGGTCAAACGCACCAACTGGAAGAACCGAACATTTCTCACGATCCATTGGCAACTGCCACTTAACTGACCAATCATGTATCAGGCAGAGTGTAACCTGTCTAATCACTAACCACAGCAAAAAGGCATGTTAAAAAATAAGTGAGTTTTGAAAGGTACATGTCAAAAATCGAATAAGAACTCACCTCCTTCCACATTTCAGAGGCGCACAAGTAACGGAGTGTAAATAGACCGAAAATATGCTGTGTGCTTTGGTACAGCAGCTCATTGAGTTCATTGGATCATTGGATTGTAGAGAGCAGAAGGAAAGTCCTTTGTCAGCTCCTTCACTTCCCGATCATTGCGTGGATGCCGTGAGTCGCTACGAGACGGTATTTCACAAGGGGCCGTAACAGCTACATTGGAAGAAGCAGGGTCCCAGCTTACTCATCAATGAGAATCCAAAAATCGCTTGAAACATTCCTCCGACTGCGCGTCGACCACATGTTTCGGCAAGTCGTTCCAGTCATTGACAATGCGGGTTGATAGAGCGAGAGTGGAGCGAACTCTGAGTCTTCTGGGTTTATATAGTTTCCAGTTGTGCCCCCGCGTGGAACTAATAGTGTTGACTTGAAAGAACGCTTGTAGCTCCGTCCCCATTTCCCCATCAGAATTCGCCTAGTAAAAATTAGATCACCTCTACGTCGGCGATATTCCAGGGAGAACAGGTGCATCCGCTGTAGTCGATGAGGGTAAGGCAAGTCCCTTAACTCCAATATGGATTTCGAGGCACGCCGCTGTACCTTCTCGATCATGTTACACTCGAACCTGGTAAGAGGACAGATGGCGGGTAGTCCGTATTCAAGGATCGGGCGCACATGAGAAGTAAACAGGATCCTGAAAATTTCCGGAGTCAGTCTCGAAAAGGCTCTCCGTATGGCATGGGACATCCTGGTGGCAGTTCATTGTTTACAGTAGAGTAGCAGGGTGAGTTTAATGGTATAGGTAGGAATTCGTCACATCTAGACTCACTCAGACAGCCGTCACACGCCTGGAAAAGCAATGTACGCGCGTTTCATCCTTTCGGGAATCGTCAGCAGTGCGTATTCCATTGGACCCTGGTAGGGCTCGAACCCTCAACTCGACTGTTGCCAACCTGTGGTTGAGACCACTGAGCTACGGGGGACGGCAACGACCATCGTGAATACGTTACTAGATATGATGTAGCGCCGCTCATTGTTCATTGAGTGGAAGGGAGCAGAAGGGAGGTCCCGTGTCAGCTCCTTTACTACCAATCTTCTAACGACTGTAGGCGTAGTAGCTGTATCATAGCTCAGAATTTAGCATCGGTCCTGCGGGATCCTGGAGTACTCAGCAGTTTAAGTTTAAGTTCAATTTCAAGTGGGAGTATAACAGTAAGATAGATCCCCGTGAATGTGTCTTCCGTGGCGCGTCGTTGATCTAGGGTATTATTCGTCCGCGATAACTGGAATCCAGAAGAGTCAGATCAGCGCCTGCAAGTCACACCACGAGCAACCAGTTAATACTCACGCGACCTGCATTGGCAGTCCCCGCCGCACCGGTCAGGTGCAAAAGAAACTGAAGTACGACAGTAATAAGAGCGTCAAGAATATATGTAGTAGATTTAATGATTCCATAAGGCAAATTAGCTAGGACGTGAAGGGTAATGTTAAGAATTGAAGGCCAAGAACATCGAGTCGGTGTTCGAACTCCTTCACAGTTGGTGCAAATACTGTTATTTTCCTTCGGTCCGGCTTTCAAAGATCTTCCGTGTCCAAGTAGCGTGGCATGTTGCAATGCAAAATAAATATCCCGTAGAGGGCTGTACGCTCGAGCCGCCTAGTAAGAGACCGATGTAAAAGTGGCAGTTAAGGAAGCACGGAAGAGGGAAGGAAAAGTGCCGGCGTTGAATAGGAAGGAAAAGGATAACAGGAAGTGAAACCGATTGACCTCTTATCTGTTAACGTGTTACCGTGACGCCTGCGGCCCGGCTACAATACCACGTTCTCGGGCACTGCATGCCAAGAATCTACCACTCGGTGTGATAAAATGAAGTCCGCAGGACTCCGTTTGATCGATGTTCGTGTAGCTTCGTCTAGGGACCTCGGAGCGATGGAAGCCGAGCCGGTTGGAAAAGCCTGGATAAAGCGGGTCCGATTTTACCGGTAAGTATGCGATAGGTCAAGCCTAGGTGGTCTCGATGGTAACGATAATGCATTGAGAACATCCTCAGCGCAAGTAGTTTTTCTGGGTAGGAATGGTTCCGTAGTCCTTGAACCAGTTTGGTTCCAACTCTTAACACTCTCCACTGACATCCTGTACCTGACCAAGCGAATTGGACAAGTCTGGATGCAGTACTCCAAGTGTGGCCTGACAAATGCGGAGAATAACCTAACAAACATAGCGCTTGTGATGGTCCCAAATGCCCTGCGGATCATGCACAACATTCTGAAACCCTTGCACGTAACTTTCTTCCAGTCCGCACTGGATTTAAGTGCTGAAGTCCATGTGACCCCTATATCTACCAAGTGGGAAACATGGTGTAGTTTATTACCGCCAAGCAGATAGCGCGTTTGGGACCATTTGGCACTATTCTTAAGATGGAACGCTTTGCACAAGTTACAGGCAAATGCCACAGAGCAGCCCAGTCCCAAAGTTTATCGAGGGCCCGTTACAGGGGCTGGGGTTCATCGAATTCAGACACTGTGTGCCAAAACTTTGTGTCATCTGCAACCATGAGAGATGGTACCTCCAGCAGTTCGGGCAGCTCATTGCCATAGAAAGAAAATCACAACGGGCCAAGCGCAGAACCATGAGGGATCCCACTGAGGACTGACTGACAGAAAGACAGACTAGACCCCCACACAAACACACATCTCGCCCTTCCAGAAACGTGGTGATCCAGGTTAGTGCACGCCCAGCTATTCCATAGGACCGAAGCTTCAAGGGGAGGCGAGAATGCGATACAGTGTCGAACGCCTTGGAGAAGTCAATAAACGCTACATCTACTGTATGACCCTGATTAAAAGCATCCACACAACCTTCTCGTGCAACTAGCAAATTTGGCATGCAGTAATGACCCTTGCGAAAGCCGTGTTGAAGTGGACTGAGCAGACCAAATTCCCGCTAGTGGTTTTCAAACACGTCCCTGACCAACTACTCCAATAACTTAACCAGTACGCTTGTCAAACTTACCCGTCTATAATTGGCAGGGAGACGCTTGTTGTCCATTTTAAAAATCGGGCAGACGATAGCATCCTTCCAGTCCTTGGGAAAGGAGCAGCTGCGAAGCGATAACTGAAACAAACGTGTCACTGGGCCACATAGCTCGCTTGCAAGTTCGTACAAAAGCTTAGGGTGCCTATCATCCATCCCAGCGGATTTAGCAGGATTTAGCCCCAGAAAAAGATGGAGAACTGTTGCCTCCGAAATTGTGACGTGGGTTAAACTGGTGTGCTGTGGGACTTTCATTGATAGGTCAACATTTGGCAATTGCTCATCCTGAACAAAAGTCCCAACATACTGTGCACCGAGTAGTCATGATTTTTCATGATCAGTGTTAGCAGTGGCGCCGTCGCTGCCTAATAACACTGGGATAGATATGCCAAAGTTACTACGCCTGTTGTTGTAGGCGAAGAATTGTTTGGGAATTGTGGAAGCTGAGTTAGCCAGCTCCATCTCCTAGCTAAGTCTAGGAGCTCGTAAAGGACATTTGCAAGCATTCCGAGCTTCACGTTAACGCCGAAACTACATTCTGAGAGAACTGTCCAGTAGATCCGCCAGCATCTTGCCCGTATATACATTTTTGGTGTACGACTGAGTCCAACCATGGTGGCTTCGCTTTGGTAATCTTCTTCAACGGAAAAAAGATATGGGAGTAAACTATATATAACAGGAAAGACTTAAACGTATTCCGAACCTCTGTATACCATCATATGGCAAGATGATGCATGGGAAAATTACTGCCTTGGCTCTTATAAACGGAAAGTCTGCGTGCCAAATGTTCGGTGTCCGGACCCTGCGTAAACCGTATGGTCACTGGCTCCCAAAGGCGGACCGTACTCAAGGTCACTCACAAAGTCAACCGACTTTGCGAAGCGTAGGTCCAAGAGAGGAGGAGCATGTTCCACCATGTACCTGGTGGGTCGATCGACAAATTGGGGTAAGGGCACTTCCAGTGCCAAGTCAACAAGCTCGGCAGCTAACCCGGTTGTCGCTGTCTCATAAGATAGGTCATGCCAACTTAATTCAGGGACGTCGAAAGCCCCCTCATCAAACATCTGTTCGCAGAGTGAGTGCGGTTGAAGTCAAAGAAACTCCTAGGAGCGCTGTCAGGGCTCCTATAAAGCAGCACAATTTTAAATTTCATTGATTCGGTACAAACTTCAACTGCAAGAGCTTCAACCGCCTTGTCAGCTGAGTTAAAGGCGTGTTTTAATTTGTTTACACCACATCTGATATACAAGGCGACTCCAACTCCGCGGCGAGCAGAAGGGTGGTCAGATATCAATATTGCGTAGGAAGATGTCTAGTACAAGTTCAAGTGGGACGGGAACGATAGGATGAATCCCGTAAGTGTTCCTTCTTGAGCGGGTGGTCCATCCTGGAGTTGCTAGGGATGCTTCGAGTTCTTGCTGCGTCAAAAACGAAAACACCCGAAAAACACCCTGATCCACCAAATCATTGCCCACGTTCCTTACATTAGCACTCCTTGCTATGTTAGTTATGTGAGGTAAGTAGGAGGAAGAAAAATCGAAGGTAAAGCGTAAGGGAAATCAATTAAAGGAGGAGAAGAATACCGATAGTGAGGAAAAGTACAAAAGTGGAATCGAAGTATGAAAATAGGAATTAGTCAGGAAAAAGTAAAGGTTTCGCATTGTCACCCAAGAGCAGCTAGTTGAAACTCGCTTCTGATTGCGCATTGGCAATCGGGTCCGGCAGTCGGTTCCAGTCATTAAGTACTCGAGTGGAGAGCAAAGGCCGGGGAACTTTGAACCTCCTCGGTTTAAACAGCTTCCAGCTGCGACCTCGCGTCAAACTGACAAGCCTTGGCTGAAAAAACAGCCTCTGATCGTTTCCCAGTTCGCCCCGTAGGATACGCCTAGTATAGATGAGGTCCCCGCGAAGTCAGCGATAGTCTAAGGGGAAAAGGTTCATCCTCTGCAGTCGGGCGGGGTACGGGAGTCCGCGTAGCCCGTGGAAAAATTTCGAGGCACGCCGCTGAATCATTTTCTAGCTTGTCA